TAGAACACGTATATATTTTTTTCGGCTAATATATAACAATGAAAGATAAGAGTAACGTATTAACAAATAAAAAAAGCCGAAATTATATCGAAAAGTGGCACATCTTTAGAGGGTGGAAGCACGGGTGTAAGGTTTGTGACGAATGCGATCACCATTCACACCTATATTGCAAAACATGCAAAAAGGTAGCGGATGGAATATATAAGCGGTGTGAATGTGAAAATTCTTAAGATTATATAAATATAGTAAGGCTTATCATTATGCGTAACATTTTCTAAAATTCGATTAATCGTCTCATGACACATGTTTGTAAGTAATACATTATTTGTGCAACCAAATCTTTCTATGAATTTTTGAATTTTATTTTTCAACGTTCATAGAAAAAAATAGAACTAGAGATAGCAGAACCACCGGAATCACTGGAACAACTACCTACGCATATTCCATCATTGTGACAGATGTGGACTGATTGCCCAAATATTTGATCAATGCGGTTCTTGATAGGTTGCATAATGAACCTTATACCTTCTCCCTCTTACCATGAATTTGTTTAATCCATTGTATATATATTTTTTACTTTTCTTATCGTATTAATAAAGCTGGCCCCAGTGGCTCGATTTCGTATAATTAATCGTGTTTAGTTTGCGTGTATATTTCATCAGCGTGATATCATCCTATATATGTTGTATCGATCTTAATGTAGACACGATAAAACAAGAAAAACTGGATACGCGTGTCCGGGCGCAGTAATGTGGCACAGTAGATTACTGGTCAGATTTTGGCGACGGCCCGTCGCTGAAATTACTATGGTCGAGTCTCACGTGATTGTACATATGATGTATTATATAGAAAGTCAATTTTTCGATAACTCAAATGTAAAATGCGCCTGTTACCTAAATGTGTCAACGCGCTAAAATACCCTGGTATGACTAATGTAATAGTATTTATTTATTACGAAAATGCTTTATAGCGTAACCTATTGTTTGTAAAATATGTAGCCTTTTGGGAGAGCACGGATGAGCCTTCGCTCAATGAGTTCCTGAATTTTCGATCCCGCGCAGGCGATTTGGAAGATGAAGTGACGGAACATAATCGGTATATAAGCGAACTGAATACTATAAGCAAGTATTATACTGAAATATCTGAATTCGGAAAAAAGGTGATAAAATGGAAACATGACTTCAAGGTATTATCGTCTACTATAATTCTTCAGCGATTTGATTGTGAGCAGTGCATCACTTCACAGACTACTTTTCGGACTGCGTGTTCGTAAAGGAAAGACTGCGTGTTTGTCTGAGAATTGTGTATTAATATCGCGGTGTACTTTTTGGACTACTTTGCGGACTGTGTGTTTGCAAGGGAAAGACTGCGTGTTTGTCTGGGAAAAAACCGCGTGTTTGAGTGAGTATGCAGTAGTACTAGTGAGTATGTAAAATTTCTCGGACTGCTTTGCGGACTGCGTGTTTGTAGAGGAAAGACTGCGTGTTTGTCCGGGAAAGCTGTGTGCTTGTGTATGTGACCTTTCACGGACTACTTTGTGGACTGCGTGTTCGTAGAGGAAAGACTGCGTGTTTGTCCAGGAAGGTTGCTTACTTGTCTGAACAGTCTATTTTCTCTTGCAATATTTTTAAAAACAGAACGATAAAAATTCAAAGCGGGTAAATTATTTTTGGGAGTTGCAAATGAAAAGACAAAACATACAAATGGAGATTAAGTTACTCGAAGAGAAAAACGAATTACTTGAGAAGGAACTGTCACACCAGATTGCTCTTGAACAGGTAATATATTAGCGACTTTCATTATGTCTAATCTTGATACTGTGATACTGAAAGTTTATTTCATTTTAGACCCAACATATTCTGGATGCGACGAGGGAGACTCGTAATCAAGGTGCTTTATTACAAAGTGAAGTTACGACAAAAATCAAAAAACGCACGTTGGATAAATCGGATGCACCATGTGAACAACCAAAAAGGAGAGTGAAAGCTACTAATAGAGTTAATAGAGTTGAAAGTGCAGAACATTATTCCAAGTCTTATGATCCGGAAGAGTGTAAGGAAGAATGTATTAATGTGGAACAAGACGAAGAAATTATAAGTGATGAACAAAACGTTTCCAATGAAATAGACGAGGGGGATGAGGTATGGTTATTTACATTAAAGTGAACTGTTCAGTACTGAATGATTGGAATAATTGCTAATTGGCGCGGTTCTTTTTAGACCGAATTTGAATCATTGAACTCTTCTCCTCCTTTGTCCGAGGGTGACAATGGTTCAGTTTACACTCCAAGGTATTTAATTCTTCGATTGAAGTTTTTTGAATTTTTTCTTAGGCTCAAAGCTTTATTCCTTTTGTAATATAAGCGATATTGAAGATCAGAACCCTCCACCACCGTTAATTCCATCACAGCTCAAAGATTTTCACAAATACTTCACAGATATGAGTAAAGCTCATAAATGGGTTCTTACATCTGGAAAGTGTATCGAAGATACTCTTTTTGAACACTGCAAGGAACTGCTAAATGAATCACTCTTACATTCATGGATTATTGATCTTGATGACCGAGAGGCAGAAGAACTATTTACTATAGAAGAGTGGAAAGAAATCCAGCGTGAAACCAGAAAATTTCCGGAAGTTGACGAAACATTTGTAGAATCTATGATGCGATTTGCCGATGTAAGTTAAGATGTTATGGCATTTTTTGATTTGTTTGTAACTTTAATAATATTTCCAATTTCAGGTTGAAACAGAAAGCGAACTAAGGAAGGTCTTAGAAACAACATCCTTCCGAAATGAAGATGAGCCTTATGTCCAAGAAGATCATTTTGATGCTGAATGGGCTGAAACTGTGATGAGGAAATTGTGAGCATTTACTTTTTATCAGCAAGATTGTTACGATGTTTTAATAACATACACATATTTGTATCCATTTATTACAAAAGCCTTATGTATTACGAAAATCATAATGAACCGCTAAAAAGATCACATCTCGAGTCTTGGTACGATATCAATGTGTGGTCGCATATTGTTGACCATGGTCTTTCCGATATATTTGGAATAGAAGTAGTCAGGTATATACATACTATTTGGCACTTTCATAATCATTTCTGTATTTTTTTTACTTTTTTCATAGAAAGGAATCAACAAGTGATGCAGTATCCACAAGAAAAAATAGAAAGAGAATATGTACACGTTACAAGAAGCTTCCCCGTAAGAAGATGGGGTATAAGATGGATGGATTATTTCGAACTTATCTAAATAATATCGAGTACGGAGCAATCGAAGTAGGAAAAAAATTTGATGAAACAAAATTGCTAGCTGATGGATTTAAAATTAGCAAAGCTATGCATGACATCTTCGTATGTTTGTGTAGACTTGTTAATTTTGAAGAAACCAAGATAAGGAAATTACAAATCCCGGGCATTCTTCACTTGGGTAAGTAAAATAAGAATTCAAAAGTTTTCAGTTTTTTGAAACAAACTGAGATCATTTGAGTTATAGGTCTCAAATCACAAGTTTTACAAATGAGTCCTAAAGGATATGTAACAATCTTAAAACGAGATAAGCTTCTTGAGGTGCCAGCTACTATTGAAAAAATAAAAGATCTTATAAGAGTATTGGTTAGCATATGGAAGGTGAAGGTATGCTTTATCCTTTATCTTCATAATTTAAGTTTTATTAGTTTATTGAATGCATTATTTTTCATTGTCTTTATTTACAAATAGAAAATGATCAAAGATAATATGAAGATAGTGTTCACTGTCCAAAATCCAAATGACTTCAAGCGAGAATTATTAGGCGAAGAATCTCCGGATGGAATAGATGTTCCATGGTCTCTTGATTCTATTGTGTAGTACTGTAAAAAATCATCTCAAATTTGATGCAATATTCGAAAATTTTATTAATTTACAAATTATTACATGTATCGTTGGCTTTTAACAAATTACTGTTAATGTTTGATGTGTCAAAATAAAATATTGGATACACGTTTTCTTGATTTTGATTTTTTTTTTACTATGCAAATTCGCACATCACGGTTGTAATCCGCAATATTTTTATTTGTGATTTAGTTTTGATACCTCGTAATAAACATATTTGATTAATATTTTTTTGGAATTTTGACAACGGGCCGTCGCTGAAATTCAGTTACGCATTTTAAATAAATAATAATATATACAATCTATTACTAAAACATGCAATCTGAAATTGATTCACTAAAGCAACGAATTTCTGAACTTGAAGCTGAAAAGGCTGAGCTCGAAGCCAAGAATGCCGAGCTTTTAAAACAGGTTATGGAAGAGAGCACCAAACGCAAAGCTGAGAATGTTGAGCTCAAAGCCAGGATCGCCAAATTGGAACAGAAACAGACGCAGGCTATTACTAATAAACAGGAGCCATCTTCTACAAAAGATATTTCACTACTTATCAAGAGCCATTCTGATGAGGAGAAAGGTATTACTCCTAATCCCTTGCCTGAAATAGAACATATCTCAACCCAGGCCCAAAGGGGCGAATCTTTAGATTCATCTGAATCTTCAACGGAGTCTGAAACATCTACAACCTCTTTACCACAAGATATTATCAATGACGATTCAGCTGAGATCCTAGATTTTGTAGAAACGATACATAAGGAAAGGATTAGTAGTGAGATAAGAGAGAGGAACCGGGAAAAAAAACTTCAAGAATCACATAATAACTTAACACCACCAATACAATCCGAAACATCAACCATGTCGACACCTGAATCTCTGGACTTGAAACCTGTGAAAGAGCTTTGGGATCAGAATCAAAATAAAAACCAGAACAAATCGCACAAGAAAAAGGGAACCGAGAATATCACTCAAGTGATAGCTGATGGTATTCAAGATGATAATCTTTTAGATTCAAATCATGTGACAGAAATTTCAGCGACAGCTCTTCACCAAAATTCTTCTGTCTTATTACTTGATTTAGCACAATTATTTGATAAGGCAACTGATGCCGAATATAGCGCCATAAAAGCTAACCAAGAAGAAACTTTATGCTGGACTAATTATGGAAAAGAATTTATAATTCAGTATAATGATCTTGTGAAAAATAGTAATGGAAAAATTGGCGAGAAAAAGGCAAAGGGTATAATATATGATAAAATATTGGAACACCTTAATATCATCCGTGAAAGAAGGTCCAAGGAAATGGGATTACAGCTCCCAGAAATTTCGCGTAAAACTTTATGCAAAAAGACCCA